AATAGATTTCTTGCAGATTTACTTACTTAAGGTTTATAGTGGCATGAAGTTTTTTTTGTGAACTAGAGCCTACTTCATCAGATGTAAGAAGTATATCCTATATTGGTAGACATCTATATCTGTCTGTCTCTATCCATCCATCTATCTATCTATCTATCTGGTCTCTGTAGTCTGGAGATGAACTGTAATTTTTTGGGGGGTCCCCTGATCCCCCCCTGGAGGCTGGCCTCCCTAGAATACAAAATGAATGACATGGCTACAGAGAGTAATATCAAGAGGCACGGGCTGTGCAAATGGAGCAGAGGAGGTGGGCCTTTTTGGCAGACCCAGCTTGTCTGGAAAGAGAACATAAGAACATAAGAGAAGCCAATGTTGGATCAGGCCAATGGCCCATCCAGTCCAACACTCTGTCACACATTGAGTGCCCACAAGTCCTTGTATTGTGAGAAAGAGGGAGGAAAGCTGTTCTGGCTTCTTCAGCACAATAATGAAAGCCTGCGAGGAGACTCTCATACCCTAATTGCCTCACTTACAAAAGAGAACAAACAGATCTTTCTCCTGTCTAAAGGGTTGCGTCAGTACCCGATGAAGCAACAGCGTGACACCGTGAGTAGTCCTCCTTTGTTCACGAATGGCCGGCAAAACCAGATTGAGAACAAACGTCACACCCCGCCCTTCTCCTTGACGGAGATTCTAAGCAGCTTCTTTGTTCTCCTGTCCCCCATTTTATCCTCTCAACAACCCTGTGAGGTAGGAAAGGCCTTTCCCATCTACAAAATTCTATGACTCAGTACTTTTCAAATGTAGTAAGCCCCTCTCGATGTAGAGCTTTTGTGCTGGTGAGATTCAACATATTTCCCTCAGCTGTGGTCAGAGGCAGATAGAAGAGTCTCCACCTTGAGGAAAGACTCTGCAGGTGTCACTGGAGAGAACCTGATTCAGTACAGCACATCTTTTTATACTGCCCGTTGTTTACTCAGTTACATTTATGCTTGATTGGCCCTTTCCTCCAAACTGCTAAGACAGGGGTGTCGCATTCATTTTTTATGAGGGTCAGATCTGACATAAATTAGACCTTGTTGAGCTGGACCCATGTGTGTCATAAAATGTAATGCCAGGTAGCGGAGATATAAACTTTATAAAGGACACGAGCACAACGAAATTTTTTTTTATTTAAAATAAAAACATGCTTAAAACATTAGCTCTATAAGCTGCAAACCTACTTTTGATTTATTGACATCAGAAATCTCATGCTCAGAGCTCTGAGTCTAGGACCCAGGTTAAAACATGAAATGACTGAGTGATTAAGAGAGTCTGGCAAAGCAAGCTATGATGCAGCAGCAGCAGAACTGGAAGCAGGAGATGGCCAGTTCCACTGTGGGACTGATGGAAGCCCTCTGGGGGCCTGATCCAGCCCCCGGGCTGCATGTTTGACACCCCTTCTCTTGCTGGCAGACAAGTTCCCTAAAATTACCGAGCAGGAGGCAGAGTTCTTGGCAAAGGTACAGAAAGGGAGAAAGAGAAAGGAAAAAAGGGGGGAAAGATGAGGGGGAAAGAAGGGGGAGAGAGCGAGGGAGAGAGACTATATAGTGTCTAACCATGTTTTACAACATTTCTCTTTCCTTCTCTGTTTGTTAAGCTTATTCTCCGTAATTGATTTTAATCTTAGCGACGTGTTGTTCAACACTATAGTTATTTGTATTTACATTGCTTTTAGTTTGGCTATTTGGCAGACTGTATCGTGGTGGTGATGATCTCTCTGAGGTAAGTCTGGCTGAGCGTTGGGCCCTGGCATGAGGTCACTTAGCAACAGGGGTCATTTCCTGCAGGAGCGCACAGGAGTGGAGTTCCGGCAGTAAAGAGCCCAGGGGGCGGGCACATGCAACAAGCCCCACCCCCTGCTCCCAGCAGCCCTCAGTCAGAGCAAGAAGCAGCCAGGTAAGTTGCAGAGCCTCCCCAGTCAAAAACAGTCCAGTGGCACCTTTAAGACCAAGTTTTATTCAGATACAAGCTCTCCCTCTTCTGTGAGGGCAGATCTGCACGTTCCCCCCCCCCCCCCAAACTCTACCAAACCCAAAAAATAGATCTGCCCGGTCCCCCCCCCCCCGCAATATCTAGCAATCCAAAATAGTCCAGTGAAGCCTGAGTGGTGGGTGTTGCCTTCTTACACACTTCCAGTGATGTCAGGGTGTGTGGCATATGCAAATAAGTTATGCTGATGAGTTATGCTAATGAGCTCCTGCACCTCTTTTTCTATGAAATGACCCCTGCTTAGCAACCTTCCATATTGATGAGGGATTCAGTTATCACAGACACATGGCAAGTTGCTTAAAAGCTCTCTTATTACATGTGGGCTCTTTTTGTAGCAGGAATTCCTTTGCATATTAGGGGACACACCCCTAATGTAGCCAATCCATGCCTATGCCTGTAAGAATATGCAAAGGAGTTCCTGCTACGAAGATAACCTGGTCTGGGATGTTGTGATTCTCTTCGGTTTTTGGCACGGCAACTCCCATCATCATCCTGGGGTTGGTGGTTGGTTTTCAAACATGTAGCACTATTTTTTTATGAGTTATGTCTGCCACAAAGAGAGACCGTTAGCTTGCTTTGGGTTGTCAGGTCCTTTTTAGTCCCCAGTGTCTTTGGGGGGCATTTCTGGAGGGGGCACCCCCAACATGATGATATCACACAAAAGTGATGTCACATTGGGGACCAGCGCCCTCCCCACACCTGTACTCCAAGCACCGAATTTGCCGCTTGGAGTTCAGGCACACACACACCCCACTTCTTGCTCAAAGCATTTGACGGGCCCCTTTAAATGCTTTAGGCAAGAAGTGGGGGGAACTCACTCCTGAACTCCAAGTAGCACATTTCCTGCTTGGAGTTCAGGCATGCAGCCAGCAGCCGCCCTTCTCCCTCCCCTCTTGCAAGATTTAAAGGGCCCTCCAACTGGTTGGCAGGCTACATGCTCCAGCCAATCAGCTGGAGGGCCCTTTAAATCTCTCAGGAGGGGAGGGAGAGGAGTGGCTGCCAGTGGTCACTGTTGGGGTGGAGCTTAGGAGTGGAGCTTCCCCCACCAGCCAGCTGGCCGGTGGCAGGCAGGAGCCCACCATATCGGGGGATCTCCTGCTCCCACCTGGGGATTGGCATCCCTATTTTGCAAGTAGCACAAGCAGTGGGGTGTCTGGAGAGAACCTGGGCCAGGATATTCCAATGCCTTTCAGTTTTGGCCTTGAAACTTCCACCATCATCCTTAAGCTGGTGGCCAATTTTGAGTCCCCTAGCTTTATTTTCTGATGATTTATTGCCTGCTACAAATGGATAGATGGTGGGGCACACTGATTCTGTAATTACTATAGACTCGTGGTAGCAGCAAGCCAGAGCAGGGTACTGTGGCTCAGTTGGTAGAGTATCTCCGTGTCATACAGAAGCTCACAGGTTCAGTCCCTGGCATCTCCAGTTAAAAGGATCAGGTAGCAGGTGATGTAAAACATCTCTAAGTGAGACCCAGGAGAAGGGTTGCTGTGTCCCTCCTGCAACCTGCAGGGGATGGTGGGGGGGGGGAGGAACTTATCAGGAATCATAGAATGTTAGAGTTGGAAGGGACCTTGCAGGTCATCGAGTCCAACCCCCTGGACTCTGCAGGAGCATAGCCGAAAGATAGCCCTACAACAGACCCGAAAGATGGCCTCCGCTTGAAAACATCCAGCGAAGGAACATCCACCACCTCCCGAGGCAGTCTGTTCCACTGCTCAACCACTTTTACAGGACGTTTCTCCTGATATTTAGCCAGTAACGACTCCCTTGTAATTTCCACCCATTAGATCTTGTCTTGCAATCCAGATCAAGACAGAATAGATCCGCTCCATCTTCTACATGACAGCCCTTCAAATACTTGAAGACTGCGATCATGTCCCCTCTAAGCCTTCTCTTTCCCAGGCTAAAGAGAAAGGCCCAGGCCACAGCCCTGGTGTTGCACAGGAAGTGATAAAGAACCAAAAAGGAAGGGGAACAAAAAATTAACCCAAGAAATATGAATTAAGAGGTTAACCTAAAAGGTTAAATACATCAAATAGGAGGGCCCAATCTTAAAATCAATAGATATAGAGTATTAGCATATAGATAGTAAAAGGTAAAGGTTCCCTTGCTCAAAAGCCAGTTGAATCCAACTCTAGGGTTGCAGTGCTCATCTCCGTTTCAAAGCCAGTGCTGTCCGAAGACGTTTCCGTGGTCATGTGGCCAGCATGTCTAAACACCAAGGCGCACGGAACGCTGTTACCTTCCCACCGAAGTGGTACCTATTTATCTACTTGCAATTTCTTGCTTTCGAACAGCTAGGTTGGCAGGAGCTGGAACTAGAGACGGGAGCTCACTCCGTCATGCGGCACACTCAGGTCTTGAACTGTTGAACTACCGACCTTCCACAGCCTGCAGTTCAGCGTCTTAACCACTTGAGCCACCGCAGCTCAATATATACCTTTATATAGATAGTACAGATTATCAAAAGAAATGTATTTATTACAAACGATTCAAAAGCAGTTATAGGCCCAAATGTAGCATCAATGTTTGGTCCTTTCATCTGTTCAACATCTTCATTATGTTGTATGCTAATTTGCTGCTCAGCCCCTACTTCTATGTATGGACTGATAACTTGCATTTCATTGTATCTGAAGAAGTGCAGGTGCACACAAAAGCTTATACCTTGAATAAACTTGGTTGGTCTAAAAGGTGCCACTGGACTTGAATTTTGTTCTCTTGATTTCGCAAGTTCCAGAATAGAGAGATGCTCTCTTGAACCTGTTATTACATAGACACCTACAGAAATGCCTGTAAAATTACTTCCACCTCGTGTTCACTTGATCCTATAGGAAAAGACCGGTATTCCATCTGAAGCTTATGTAAATCTTCATGCTTTCAACACAATTATCTCAAGATCTATGACACAAAGTCATACCTCCAAGTTTTTTCTAATTAATTGTGCAGAACAGTTGGTACGTTTCTGGATGTCAAGCGCTAGAAGATAGATTTTCCTCTGGGCTCTGATGGATTTTTTTTGGGTTCTGTTATTGCTGTGGACCATTTTACTTACTGGATTTTTGCTGCTGGCAACATGGGCTATCCACTACCACATCGCCCACACGGAAATCCCTTCTGGAATCTCTGAGCCCTTCCAGCTGAGATGTTTACACTGCTTGTTGATCATGGCTTTTGGTCTGGTAAGTTCATTTTTAGTTGCTTAAGAGGACCGGTGTTGACAACGGATGTGTGCCATTAATTACATGGAAGATGTGCAACTTCTGCCTTCTTCATGGAAGGTATTTTCAGCTGCTCCTGCAAAATCCGTAGAGACGCTTCACCCGGTCAAGACCAATGCTCCCTCTGTGGTGGAGTCCCATGAGCAAAAAAATCTACTTTGTGAGCTATTAGGCATTAAAGTTGTGAGCAAACGATTTGGCTACTGCATAAGTTAGTTTGCTCTGGAGCCATCCTTCCTGAGCGAAGACAAAAAGGTGTGAGCCAGAGGCTAAAAAACTGTAAGCTAGCTCACACTAACTTGGCTTAGAGGGAACACTGCTCATGACTCTCTGTTGAGGTCCAGCTCACTTGTGTTCTGAGCACGATTCAACGTGCTGGCTCTTAAGTTGGATCCAGACGGTACTGTGGCTGGATCTCACCCAATTCTCCCTCCCTGATACTGCCCTCATCCCACATAGGTTTTGTACATTTGGGTCCCATGATCCCCAACATAACATTTTTAGATGGTCAAAAGGGACCCCTTTTTTGGGTTTTTTTCACTAGCAGAAAAGCCAGTCAGATCCAACCCATAGTCTTTAAAGATCTCCATGAAGACAGATTCAGGTGGGTCGCCGTGTTGGTCTGAAACAGCAGAACAAAATTTGAGTCCAGAGCGCCTTTAAGACCAACCAAGTTTCTTTTGGGGCATAAGCTTTCGTGTACATGCACACTTCTCCAGATCTGAATCTAATGTCATGTCTAAATAATAATCATCGTAAAGGTAGATCAACCATTGTTCGAGCTCGTTCAACACAAATTACCCCCTTGACCATTTTAATATTTTCAGCTCTTAGCGCAGAATCCCAAGGTCTAACCCTGTCAGTATCACCAGATGTTTGCAGTAAACTGGATGGCTTACACTTTCCTTTAGCCCCATTTAACCAGTCTTTTTCTGCAGGCCAAGCTTTCGATTTCCATTCTTATGCAAAAGCCAGCCTTGCAGCTGTCAATAAGTACAAAGCAATACTCCAATATCGTTTTGGAACAGGTGCCATATAATTAAACAAGACAAACTGAGGTATTGTTTTTTTGCCACGTTCATTTCAAAGGCCACAGACAAGGATCTAGCTGTTGTAGGGTTGACGAGATCTCCCGCTTTTACAACTGATCCACAGCTGACAGAGATCAGCTCCCCTGGAGGAAATTGTCAAAGTCAAGGACGAGAGATCACGGGACAGGCTGAACTTTGTAAGGAAAAACAACCGTGATATGATAACGAAACCTTACTAGAGAAAAATATATCTTCTTTAATTATCCAGTGTTATGTCACATAACCAAATGATGTAAGCTAGAAAGGAAGAGGGAGCAGAAAAAATACAAAAGGTGTAAGGTCTCATCTGATGACACCTTGAGTGAAACGGTCCACTGAGTGCTGTACCGTCAGAAAGAAAAACTTGAGACCAATTTACTTCAAAGAAAACACCTTTATGATTTGTTATTCACTGGAAAATTAAAGAAGATATATTTTTCTCTAACAAGGTTTCGTTATCTTATCATAGTTGGTTTTCCTTACAAAGTTCCCCCTGGAGAAAATGGCTGCTTTGAAGGGTGGACTCTCTGGCGTTGTACCATGCTGAGGCCCCTCCCCTACCCAAACTTCGCCCTCTCCCGGATCCACCCCCCCAAAGTCTCCAGGTATTTTCCCACCCAGACCTGGCAACCCAAAGCTATCGTATCTCCAAAGGACTCCACTCCATCACAATACCACCACATGTATAAAAAAATTAGTATTTGGCTGACCCCAAAGCGATTCTTATACATGCTTGCAATCCGGACAGGTGAAAGGTGCCACTGGTACACCATCTTGCAAATACTTTCCCTAAAAAGGGTAGAAACTGAAATGGAGGCACCATAAGCAAAAAGGTAGAGCCAAACTCTTGAGTCTATGTTATCACCTAAGAAGAGAAGAAGAAGAAGAGATTGGATTTATACCGCACCCTTCACTACCCAAAGGTGTCTCAGAGCGGCTTACAATCTCCTTTCCCTTCCCCTCCCCACAACAGACACCTTGCGCGGTAGGTGGGGCTGAGACAGCTCTTGACAGAAACTGCTCTTTTTCAAGAACAGCTCTTATCAGAGCTATGGCTTGCCCAAGGTCATCCAGCCAGGTGCAAGTGGAGGCGTGGGGAATCAAACCCGGTTCTCCCAGATTAGAGTCCGCACACTTAACCACTACACCAAACTGAAGACATTCCTCCACTTTTTAAACTCCGATTATTATTTCCAAGTGTGTAGATATATTAAAGTGCTATCGTTCCTTGATTTTGTAGTGAACACAATTCAGACCTGTTCATCTTAGCCCTTAACTCTGCATTCTTTTCTTTTCTAATAAAGCTTCTCATCTGCCAGTAATGATGCAACAGGAGAGTATAATTACTACCTTGATTGACCACTTCATAAAATACTGTTGTCCTGTCCAGCGTGAGCTGCGGCTGAGGCGAACGCTTTCCCGGTGTGAGTCAACGCACAGCCACTGAAGAGAGCTTAAATCGTATTTATTTAACTTCACATGCATTCAGTAGATCATTTACTCACAATTGAGCTGATAGCTGGATAGAGCGTTACATCTTTCTGATCTAGGTAAATCCTATGGCCGTGGTGAGAAAAGAGATGGGCTTCCCCTCTCCTTGCAGTAAGGGTTCATGGACAAAGAAACGGAAAAGAACAATAAAACTCCTATCTTTGCGCCTCTGAGCTCAGGAAATTACTCTTAATGAGCCAATCAGAGCGAAGCTTCTGGGACCCCTAACTGTGGACTCCAGTTCCCAGGTGCAACTACTCTTAAAGGTACATTAATGCTGGCTGGGGGCAGCACACTCCCCGCCTGGAACCCTATGGGTTCCACTACCCACATGCATTGCTAAAGAAGCCTTATAACTACACAGAACTGGCATGCTATGCTGCTAACTGTGTTCTAGGCAGAAAATTAAGACAGTTTCATTGTTTTTAATTAGTTCATAAAAATAATGAAAGTCTGTATCCCTCTGGCGCTTACATTGCTGCCTTTCCCAACCAACTTTAAAGCCTATTTCTAGTACAGCTGAGGCCAAAGGAGAAGATCAGGGACCCAGAGACTTTTGCTGATAGAACTTCCAACTCTCTCTTTTAAAAAAGAGGGGGGGAAATCCAGTCTATTAAAGGTATGGCGACTGATGTTCTGTCTGTATCACAGGATCTACTTGAACTTCAAACCGATTGGCTAGCCATAGAATTTTTGCTGTAAAATAATAACACGGATTATCAAATGAATCACATTAAGAGGCTGTTGAGCTATTGGGATTTTGAAATGTTTATAGCTCAATTGCTTGTATATTATTATCATTTCCTGGATCAAATTCTTGTTGTTTATCTCTTGTTTCTGTCGATGCTTTCCTTTTTTTAAAAAAAAAAGTCATTGTCTGCCATGGCTTTTAGGTCCTTATCTTTGTTTGGCAGACATTCTTCAAACAAGTTAAGAGCAGCGGGCTCTAATCTGGAGAACCGGGTTTGATTCCCCACTCTTCCACATGCAGCTGCTGGGTGATCCTGGGTCAGTCACAAGTTCTTTCAGAGCTGTTCTCTCAAGAACAGTTCTCTCAGAGCTCTCTCAGCCCCACCTACCACACAGGGTGTCTGTTGTGGGGAGAGGAAGGGAAGGAGATTGTAAGCCGCTCTGATACTCTGAGTGAAGGGTGGGGTATAAAGCCAATCTCCTCTTCCACCTCCTCCTCCTCCTCCTCTTCTTCTTCACCAACAGCCAACCGAATTCCTTCCAGCCAGTTTACTGCAATTCCCCTTAGCCAACAGCTCCCCCTTACAACAGAGTGGCTGACTCAGCACAGCAGGGTCTTGTATATTCTAGCTGCCAGCTGGGCCCATCACCTGGCCACATCAGGTCTCGTCTGATTGGCCAGGTCGGGGGGGACATCAGGGGACTCTGCAGCTACATCAGCCTCCCAGCAGCAGCCCCCCATGCCAGAGCATGACACCATGCCTCCCCGTGGGCCTGCAAACTTGACCCTTGGTAAGTCAAGGGTCCATGCTTCTTTTGTACGTTTTTAGCACAGTTTTATCACCCATACACATGTCACTGATCCATCATAGCCCCTGGTGACAAGCTATGCACCACTGACATCCCTTTTAACATTTTGGTGGGATTTCGTCGATGAGGTTAAGAAATACGATGACTGCAGATTTTGCCCAAGCAAGTAGAAGGCAGGTCAGGAGTAGGAATAGGGAAATACAGCCACGAAATTCAGTAGCAACCAGGAGTGAAAGCTGACAGGTATCCATCACCAGTAAGGAAGTTGCTGCAATAGTCCCTCCCATCTTCTGCATCAAGCCTCCCAAGAGGTTATCAGTGGGCGATTCTGCATTGGCTTTCCCCTCCGTTGTTTTACCAAACCCACCTTGGAACAGAAATTCCCCTCTGCATGGCATGCCGCTTTCACTTTCTTTGATCATTGGGTTTTATGGTACCCTCTACACTGCATGCCGTTTCACTTTCTTGGATTTTATGGTACCTTCTGCATGGATTTATGGCTGCTCAGGGGTGACTTTGCAGCCAGTATGGCATTGCCCCGGGGTATTTGAATGTGGTTTTGACCTGCACCTTTCCCTCAGTGTTGAGAAAATGTGGAGCAAATACCAGATGCAGAATCACCCAGTGAGCAGCTCAACTTAGCTTAACTCCTGGTAGCATCTCTAGTAGAGTCATGCAACAGCCACACTGCATGTTGCTCCATAAGTTCCTCTAAGTCTACAGCAGTCCTAACACTGAAATCCTCAATGAGTTACGTACTTCCATCAAAGCTAACATGATTAGAAGGCTGGACCTAGGGTTGGGCTTATACCGCAATTGGGCTTATACTTCTGCAATTGCTTTATGCATTCCTAGGCATACCATTAGTTTTGATTCTGAGCGTGCCAGACAGCACCTCTTCGGCGGGCCAGATTCTTGGTCTTCGTTTCTTTTCTTCTTTTAAAAAACAAACCTAATATTTCGCTTTCCTGGATCTAGAAATAGGAGTGGGAAATGTGCACAAAGTATTCTTCCCGATTGCTTTGCTCCACTACCTGCTGTTTTCCCTAACTCGAATGAGGTCCCAGATAAGGCTGACCGGCTTGTTATGTTTCTCTGTGATAATCCGTTTTGTTGTCTGAAATCAAAGACTGAGCCAATCCTGGCATGAGCAAAGAGAACGGGGGGGGGACAAAAGAGAGAGAGAGCGCTTCTGATTTTTCCTAGGCTTGTTGTTCGTAGCTGTCAAAAGCAGACACAAATCAACTGGTAGACAATATAAAAAGGGAATCTGCATGTTGACCTAATTAGCAGTTTTCTCAACAGGTACTTTGAACTAAGACATGTGGAGTTGGAATTTGGGGTTGTAGTATGATGCAAACTGTTCAGGAGGTTGCTTTTATCAATGGCATAAGATAATAGTAATTAAGCGCTGACAAGTCCCAACCAACTCAAGGACGCCCATGGGCTTTTCAAGGCAAGAGATGAGCAGAGGCGGTTTGCCATTGCCTTCCCCTGCAAAGCAACCTTGGACTTCATTGGTGGTCTCCTATCTAAGTATTAACTGTGGCCAACCCACTTAGCAGCAGAACACAGTTCAAGTCCAGTGGCACCTTTAAGACCAACAAAGTTTTATTCAAGGTATAAGCTTTCGTGTGCATGCACACTTCTCCAGGTATATAGAAATGGAAGTTAGCAGTCTGTACATATAGGTAGAGGGTGAGCAGTAAATTAACCCACAGCATAATAAAGATGTTTAACCTATATAGGTGTTTAACCTATATGTATGGACTGGTAGTTGAACTATGGTGCTCAGAGGTCATTTCGGGGGGGAACGCGGGGGATCGCAGTTCCCCCAGGTGAGGTGCAGGGGCGGGGCACATGATGAAGCCCCGCCCCCTGCTTCCAGCTGCCCCACTTCCAGCCCTCATTCAGCCAGGAGGAGGCAGGAGAAGAGGGAGGGTAAGTTGCTTCCTCCCCGCCTCTC